TACACCCTCAGATACCAGCACAACTTCCGCATTGCCAGTCTCTATTATTACAGCATCCAGAACAAAAAACAGCAGTGCATCAACCTCGACGGATATGAGCCCATCTTCGCCATCCATAGTCTCTTCAACAACACCACCCAGTACAACCAGCAGCACTACAGCACTATTAGATGTAAGCACAAGCTCAGTATCCATAGTGTTGGCTACCACAGCAACCAGCCAAAAAAGCGGCAGTGCCACATCTACACCATTAGATGGCCTTGCAAGTTCAGCATCCACAGCTCCAGGTTGGTCATTATGATTGTATCCATCCATTAAGTGTGTGTGAACTAATCACACATAGTGAATGGATCGTTTGTTAATGGGGAGCAATAGGCATTCATTATACATCCTGCATTCATTCATGTATTCAAACTTGAGTGCATTAGTCAAGCATTACTTGAAGTATATGATTTGTACCTTATTATGAGTTTCTAATTATAATAATTTCTATTTACACCTTTTTTCAGATGCCCAAATAGTGACATTTCACCTCAAAGTTTCTGTTTTATCCAATAATCAGGAAAATAAGGATGGGATGGTAGAGGCTATATCTAATGTAAGTACAAACCACCTTAAAATGTGTACTGTGCCGTAACAGTATCACAAAAAACAGTATTACACACACCTCTGTCACTTATATCTAATCAGCAAGTGTCTTCTCTCTCGCAGCTTGTATCCCAGATCGTTCTCAAGATGAACTGTGAGGGCTGCACTTCAACTTTCAGACACATCAAACCTACCTGAGAAAGAGCCAGTTTCAGCCAATGTGTGCATCCATCAGTGGGGCAACAGCTATCCTGCACAATATTCAGAAACAACAGAATAATCTGTTTAAACTTAATCAGCTGTTAAAGATGAGCGCTTACTTAAAGCCTTAGGCTATAAAATGACATAAAAATAACTATTAATTGAGAGTTAACTGTTAAGGGAGGCTAAGTGGCTGAAAACAGATCAAGGAAATGCTATTTGGCTAAAGAAGGATAAGTGGTAATTCCTACACTTAAAGGGAGGAGGATGGGTCAAAAGTTGAATTATGTAATTTAAAAAGGTATAATATGTCACATTTGATTACCTATATATTACATACATAGTAGTGTACTTTGGGGCTGCCCCCTGATATTGATACAATGGATGATGCATAACATTAACAGTTTCTTACTAATTAACATGCTACAAACTCGCTCCTCTTCCTCCGCTTTATACCTCTCCTGTCCCTGCTTGAAACGGCTGTCTCTTCATCTGCAGAATAGTCCTAGTGGGAGCCGCTGTAAATCAGCTGGCCTCTGCTCCAGTTCTGTTGCTCATTTTGGCACTGCTCCTTAGGAGTATCCCCCACTGGGTTCCTGTCTTGGCAGTATCCTCCCCCTGTCCTTTCGAACTCCCAGTCCGGGTGAGCTAATAGGACTGCTAATTAGCTAGTGGCAACAGCTAGTACAGTTAGCAAATGCAACAGCACATGTTACAAGAGAAAAGGTACTTTCATCCCGGTGACGTGGCACAGCAGAGTTTGACGTTGTTTTTTTGTTTTCCTGCGACTATCCGACAAATGAAAAGTGGGTTGACGAAGACTCTTCTCAGCAACTAAAAACTAAGTCAACTATTAGGGAGCAGCCCTAGTGTCCCCTAATAACAATGTTCAAACCCAGATGAATGCCTAATTTTAATCAAGGTAACTGTGTTTTATTTGGTACCGTCAATGGCATCACACTTTACCCCCTCTTGCTGCTATAATTCCCGGGGAAACACAAAATGCAGTGTCATTTTCTCTGAGTGACCAAGTCAAGGCAGGACTTCCTCACTAACCAAAATAGCAACTATTGCTATTTTAATAAATGTACACATTTCCTATGTAACACTATATGCCGCACTATAAAGCTTCACGTCTGATCCAGGTACATGTCACAACTGAATACTAAAAAGATTGGACACTAGAACCACTGACAGATTCTAAAGTATTACCGCATGTATCAAATCCCTGACTTGCACAGTCTATATGGGACACAAAAATAGTCAACAAGGCCAGTATAAGTATATATAAGTATAGACATTTTTCACAGCAGCCATTTGTACTTGAAATAGGTGCAACCAATGATACTAATTTTGTTCCATTAAGGTCAAACAGAGTCAGGGTGTTGCTATCGTCCATGTTGGCTCACTGGAAAGACTACTGCTACACTAAATGGAATGGTGCCTTAATCAGTATCATTGGTAACACCTGTGTTTAGTAGGGGTGAAAGGAAATATCGAGAGCGGTCATTTCGCAACATTTTGTTTAATGGTATTGCATTGATTCTCAAAAACACTGTATTCATTTTTCTGTTTAAACCCCCAACCCCAAATAGCAGTGTTTTAGTGAGGGCTAAAAAATGCAATATAGGACCTTCCTTACAGTATCGCAATATAACGCAATATATTGAATGGTAACCCCAGTATCATGATACATATCGTATCGTCAGATTCTCGCCAATTTACAGCCTTAGGGTTTACCCTAGTATTTCATGTCCTTCCTAAAAAGTAGGATTCATTTTACAGCACAGCTTAGAGACAAAACTAGGATGAATAAAGTATTTCAAGCAACTACAGCAGAACCTGTGGCCAGGCTCCTTCACAAATCATTTTTGAGTAACAAAAAAAAAAGGCTAAATTGGCCAAATTATGAAAATCTCTGGAGAGCAGCAACAACACAACAGCAACAAAGTCCAAACAATGGGAATATAAGGTACTCCCATAACATCATCATAAGGAGACACGCACAGAAACCATCAGAGAAAGAGAGAAAGAGGAGGGGTTTGACTCACGTTATTTGATGTCCAAACTCATCCTCTCCTCTTTTCCTGGATGTGGAGGTGTCAGTATCCATGTCAAATTCAGAAATGTCCCACTGCACTTGTTGCTGTGATGGTGATTTAGTTTGTTGTCAGAACTCCTCATTTTCTCTGC